CGCATTTTGAATTAGCAATTAACCCCCACCAATAAACACATAAAACAGATAATTCAACTTCAATCCTAAGGGCCCTTTCAAATCTTCATGTTGTGGTAAGGTGTGGTAAAACACACATTTTACTGCAAATTACTGCAGTAAAAAGCAAATCTAGTATATTGCAGCTTACCAATCTTTAAATGTGGTGGATCATTTGCTTTCACCTGGTGATCAAGCCAGTAACACACTTCTTGTCTTAGGGCCCATTTACACATTCAGTAGTGACCTGCATTTTACCTCACTGGATCAATGCATGTCACTGCTAGGAATAATAGAAAACAATTTTGTAGCACCCTGGATGCCACCGCAGGGTTAACAAATTAAGATTTCAGCTAAAACTTTTTAAGCAGTTACAGCAACAATGTTTTTTCTTTTGTGATGTGGGATGCACATAAATAAGGAGAGGTTGGGACAAACTATTATACTGATGGTGTTTACAACAGTCATCTTTGATTCACATATCTTAAATCTTGTTTTTTTCCAAAAGAAAATAAAAATATTACTGTAACAGTTTAAACATGTTAGTTGAAGTTGGACTTTATTTGTTGCAGTTTGTCATCTAAAACTACCCTGTCCAGAAGGTGACAATGCATACGTGATTTTTGCAACAGAACAAACAACATTGTCACCCTTTTAACAAAGTTGCAAATCAATAGATCTACTTGCAGAATCACAATTGATAAAACGTGTTTTTTTACCAGGAGGAACCATAGCGCTTGGCAGAGTTTTAGGACCTACTGGGGAAGTATACATTATATTCTTTTATATTCTTTTATACACTGGGTTTAGTTTACATTTATATACATAGCAACAGAGTTGCTTTTATTATCACCTTCTGTATCATCAGTATAATTGTAACACACCAATTTCATTGCCTGCACTAATTCTTAAAGCAGCAGTAGCCCACCACAAACCAGAATTATCTGAACACGGACAGTCCAGTGGCGTGTCAGAGCAACTATTCTTGATAACCTGTTAGATATTGTGGGAGACCCCCTCAGAGGTTTGCCACTAACACCAATTACCTATTCATCATCAGTGTTTGGATGATAAAAAGGATCTGACAAGACTTAAAATTTCAATATTTTTTATACCACTATTATCTTGACAAGTCACAGTTGTACTATACTGCATCATCCACCAAGGGCTGACACTGAAGGACAAAAAGAAAATAAAGCAAAGTGCATTATGGCTTAAATAGTGTTCCAAAATTTAATAACAGGTAATTAAAATGTTACTAAATAAGAATTTATATGCAACCGTACCCACTTTTGCTCAGCTCACTGAATGCTACCACAGGTCGCTACATTGCATGCTGTGTGGGGATCTGAACGCAGTGTAACACTTTAAATAAAAGGATACATGTAAACAGTTACAGCTCCTGCAGTGTGTGATACAATGCACACTGCCAGAGCTGCAAAAACGCACTAGCTCGTCCACTAAATCCCAGCATTTTAGCGCATGCGCTAGTTTAAATGGGCCCTTAGGGAGCTTCCACTCTATTAGACAGCATAATTATCATCCTGTGCAGATTAACATGGACTTGACTAACAAATTAAAGCTGAACTTTACGCTAAACTGTTTGGATAAAGGAATCTCCCACTGGGCCAAGCTTAAATAGCTTGCTTGCCGGCCCTGCTGGCTCTCAAAATATCTACACAATGCCTGCATCCAATCAGAATGTTCAGGTATTTTGACAGCCAGCAGGGCTGACTAGCAAGATAGTGAAGCTTGGCCCAGTGGGAGATTTCTCTATCCACACAGTTTAGCGTAGATGGAGGAATCTGTTGCACTTTTTCCATCTGACCATAGAAAATCTGCAGATAATCTATAGATGTACAGTCAAGGTCAATATTCCTGTAGAGAGGTTTAAGAAACTCTTTGATGGTTATAGGAAGAAATTGATTTCATTTATTTTTTTCTACCAAATATTAATGAAAGGTGCCAATAATTTTGTCCAGTCCATTTTTGGAGTTTTGCGTTTAATGTGCCGGAATTTTGTGTCATACCAATACAAACAATATAAAAACATGAGAATGCCTAAACATTTGTAATTGTAACACATTTCTGTGTGAAGTGGTGCATTATCTGACAGACATTCAGGGGTGCCAATATTTTTGGCCATGACTGTATGGCCAGCTTTACTGGTTGTACCATGAGGTAAAAATAAAGAAAAAACTAAAACAGTCAAACTATTGTAGCCACCACATCTATGAATTGTTAAGCTTTTTGCTTTTAGATATAGATAGGCTTTTTTTGCAGTACATCTTCACAATTATTGTGAAAAGGGCTCTAACAAAATGCCTAAAAAGAGCCTTAAATTACATATAACGGGTTAAGCTTTAAACTAATTCAGTAATCTTTAGCATGTGGTTATAAATAATGGGTTATGTTTCTGACACTCATTAGAACTGAAGAAGCTGCTAAAATAAGCAAACAAAATGTCTTCAACATTACAAAAGTCAAGTTGTATGTGATTAACTATTACTAGCTATATAATGATCTCAATAAAAGGAAACATTTCCAGTCACTACTATTTATAGTTCAATTCAAATTCTAATAGGAGCTATGCATTCTACTTATGTTTTTTTTTTAAATAGCTCCCAGCCATAGCAAATACATGTACTGGGACAGTTAGTGTAAAAATAGATAGGTGGTTAAACTGCAAAAAAGACTACTTTATATTGCCCAGCTTTAGGGAATGTTTTTCGGTGCCATGGACATATGAATTATGACTCAACCATTTGCCAAGAGCACCCTAATTCCCTCTCTTTTACATGGTTGCTTTCTTTTTCACATGATACACATGGGGCTCTCTTCACCATGTGAACACAGGAAACTCTGTTTCCTCTACACAGCTACTGAGAAAATATAAATGTTGTTTAGCTTTTCCCTCTCTTTTGCTGCAGAGCACAATTCCAATCAATAAAACATATATTATATTTAGATAATTTATCCTAAAAGATATCTTTTGGCAGCAAGCTAAACTAATAATCTCAAGGTTTTTATAGACAAAAACCTATTTTAATTGATTTAAAACTGTGGCTTTATAATTGGAATAGAATTACAGTTGTAAAAGCTATTTGTCACTGATTAAATAAATTATATCACAACTGCAGAAACTCTAAAACATTTCCCGATCAGTGGAAAAATGTTTTATTTTTTATCGAATCATTTTATTACATATGGCAATTTCTTAGCAGCATTTTTCTTTTATTAAAATGTAAAATAACTCACATCTATATACATGAGGGGACAAAATAGAAAATGAATGGTTTAGAAGCCGGACACAATCAAAATCCTTGTCTGACATAACTGCAGATAATAAATGATTTATCGCAAACCTTAGTCTCTTCCTGTAAAATGCCCAAGAGTACGTTTTATTACTCACATCAATTATTTTAAATATTTCATTTAAATAGATAAATGGATGTAATTGGCATTATTAATCATAATTAAAATCCCTCTCTGTTGATAAAAATAAGATGTAGTACATGGTAATACATTTACCTTATCTGTAGTCACTTATAGGAAATAGCAGTAACTGGTACATTTCCACTGATTAAACTATTAATTAAAGCAGCTATAATTAAGTCAATTTATCCTGCCAGACCATGGCATATATAAATATATATGTTCTACAAAGTTTAAGTTTTTAAACATTTAAGACTATACATTGTTTTTGCGCAATTCCACCAGAAAAAAACTGCAAGAAAATTTCACTGCAGTCATTTAAGATAAAACTATAACTTGCTTTAGTACTAAATATAGTAAAAACAGTTCATTTAGCAAAGTATTACAGCTAATTCAAATGCAACAAAAAGCTTTATGAAATTGGATTGCAAGCATGCCAAACGTGTATATTAGGGATGTATTGTGCATCTTTTTAAACAAAAATAACAGGATATCGAACTAGAAAAAAAATAAGAACAATTTAAGACTATTTAAAGAGACATTAAACCTTCATTTTTTTCTTGTTTATGGGGGCCAGACTTCCTATAAAATAGCTTTATTTTGCTTATTTTTTTTCCTTGTTCTCTACTGGTATCCAGTCACTAGCCCCACCACCCCCCGTATGGGTGCCTTCCCTAGCTAACCAACTGTTGTGTGGGCACCTGCATGTGCAGGGTCACAGATTCCAGGGGACAGCGGATGGTGCGTCCCGAGACACCTGTCGGATGTGGAAGAGTAGGTCGGACTGCAGGAGTAGGAACTGGGTAGCTACGGGGCATCGAGTACATGCGGGATAGGGCTTCAGGTTTCCCGTTGCGTGATCCAGGGCAGTAGGTTATATGGAAACGGAAATGGGAAAAGAAGAGCGCCCATCGGGCCTGCCGAGGTCTTAAGCACCTGGCCGATCTCGGGTACTCCAAGTTCTTGTGGTCTGTATAGATCAGGACCGGATGGGTCGCTCCCTCCAGCAGATACCACCATTCTTCTAACGCCAGTTTAATGGCTAGGATCTCCCGATCGCCGACATCATAGTTCCTCTCGGCTGCGCTCAGCTTCCTGGAGAAGTATGCCACGGGGTGCAAGAGGGCTTTCAGCCCATGGCGCTGGGATAGGATAGCCCCTACTGCCACCTCTGAGGCATCCACTTCCAATACGTAAGATAACGCGGGATCTGGATGTCTTAGAAATGGGGCAGACGTAAACCGGAACTTCAGCTGGTCGAAGGCAGTCTGGGCATCCGCAGGCCACTGAAAGTGGTTCGTCTCCTTAGTTAATTGCGTGATGGGCATTATGATCTTGGAGAAGTCCCGGTTGAACCGTCTGTAAAAGTTTGCGAAACCTACAAAGCGATGCACGCCTTTCTTGTCCATAGGGGGAGGCCACCACAGGATAGCGGACACCTTTTCTGCGTCCATAGCAAGGCCGGTAGCCAAAATGACCAGTACGAGGAACTGGATTGAGGACTGCTCGAACTCGCACTTCTTGACTTTTACGTATAGGCCATGCAGTCAAAGTCGGGAAAGCACCTGTATCCGGTGCAGGGTCAAGGAAGACGAGAAGACGAGGATGTCATCGAGGTATACTATTACGAATAGATCCAGGAATTCACAGAAGACGTCGTTCACCAGGTGCTGAAATGTGGCCGGGGCATTGCACAGGCCGAAGAGCATAACGTGGTACTCGTAATGCCCGAACTGAGTACGAAAAGCTGTCTTCCACTCATCCCCCTCACGGATCCGGATGAGATTATAGGCACCCCGCAAATCCAATTTGGTGAAGATGGTTGCAGAATGGAGGCGTTGAAACAGCTCCGGAATCAGTGGAAGGGGGTAGTGGTTCTTGATGGTGATATGGTTAAGCTCACGGTACTCCACGCAGGGACAGAGGCTGTGGTCCTTCTTCTCTACAAAGAAGATTCCAGCTTGGGATGGTGAGATAGACGGGTGGATGAATCCGTTGCTCAGGTTATCCTGGTTCAGATAGCGGACAGTCATATGCCCGATGCGGGGGAAGGGTGTCCGCATTCCGTTTATCAAACACATCAAGGAAGTCGTGATAAACCCTGACGTAATACATTGTCCTGGACTGGTTGGCAGAGGGACAAGCCCTGGACAGCCGCGGGCCGTGAACAGTTCTGCATACAATAGGAGGATCGGAAGAAGACGTCCCCAGTGCTCCGTTTGATGGGAGGGTTGTGGGCCAGGAGCCACAGCATCCCCAATATGACAGGGGACAAGGGCGAGGATATAATATCCAAGCGGAGTAGTTTGTGATGCCCCGGAATGACCATGGCAGGGATCGGAATGGTTTCCTGGGTGACTGGCCCGGTTTTGAGGGAAGTGCCATCTGCCAGGTAGATGAGGAGTTCCTGAAGTTTATTTTGCAGGGGGATGTGGTGCAGGGAAGTGAACTGATGGTCCAAGAAGCAACTGCAGGCACCAGAATCAAGGATGGCCGAGATCTGAAGGACTTTCTCTGGCAGCTGTAACGAGATAGGGACAACGAGATGAGAGGAGAGGTGTCTGGCCCCAGCCTCTGAAGCGGGGGTCATGTGTTGCCACTTACGTTTCTTGATGGGACAGGTATGCACGTAATGCCAGGAGCCGCCGCAATAGAGGCACAGATCCTGTTGGCGGCGCCGTTCCCTCTCCCCCGGGGTCAAAGGTGCTCGCATCAGGCCAATCTGCATGGGTTCGGGCATGCCATAGACTGTAGTGGGAGGAACGTATCGAGACATCGGGTTCCCACCTGGCAGGAGAGCCGGGACCCGGGGCAACATCCAGGTTGGTCGGGAGTAGCCAGCTCTTTCCAGTCTCCGTTCCCGTAGGTGTCTGTCGATCCGAGTAGCCAGGTGGATTAGGTCATCCAAAGAATCCGGCACCCCCACACGGGCCAGCTCGTCATTGAGGGAATCGGACAATCCCAGCCGAATCTGGCAGCGAAGTGCCGCGTCGTTCCACTCCGTGTCAGAGCTCCATCTTTTATACTCCACCACGTAGTCCTCAAAGGGCCAGCGGCCCTGACGCAGGGTGGACAGAGTGGTCTCTGCGGTGGAGACCCGGTGGGGGTCATCATATAGTAGCGCCATGGCGTCCAGAAACCCAGACGAGAATTGAAGGAGTGGATCGTCCAGTTCCAGGAGACGATGGGCCCAGGCCTGTGGTTTGTTAGCTAGAAGCGAAATGATGAACCCCACCTTGGTCTGCTTTGACACAAAGATGCGTGGCTGCAGCAGGAAATAGAGTTGACAGGCGTGCCGAAACACACGAAACTTGCTGTGGTCCCCGGTGAATTTCTCAGGTGCTGGTACCCGGGGTTCAGGTGTGGGTCCCATGGCAGCGGCAGCAAGTGGTGCGGGGTCAGCAGGTGGTGGTATTACTGGTGGAAACGGAGTTGGGGCCTCTGATGAGTTTTAACATCAGTGATATAAATGGCTTTGAAATTAATTTGGCTGCTGCTAATCTGATATAGACATATTGATCTAATTTAGCCTTCCTCACCACTGAAAGGCATTTTAAAAGGTGGTTGTGTCTCCATATGTCTCCATATGCACCTGAATGTTTATGCAAGTATGGTGTATACCCGTGTACAGCCATGACTTCTATGTGAGCCTGTATGCAGCACCTGTGGCTCCCTTGTGGGTGATAAATGTTGGAATTTACATTATACAGCCACAGGCAGCCATATGCATGAGCCCTAAATGTCATAGGTAACATGTTCTGCTCATGCAGGGATTGTTTAGCATAGCAATGAACACAAACAGATTATGGCCTCCTGGCTATTTTGTCACAAAGGTCTGTGTATTATTCCCTAGGTTGGAGCTGCCCAGTCTCAGCCCCTCTGCTTAACCCCTTCATGACTGAGGCCCTTTTTTCCATTTTTGCACCCATGTTATATTCCACATTTTAGGCCTGAAAATGACGTAAAACCCCCCAACATTATATATTTTCTGAATGCCAAGACCCTATAGAATAAAATGGTGGTAGTTGAAAATTTTTATGTTGCGCAATATTAGCGCAACTCCTTATTAAACCCCAAAATTTAGTGACAAATTTAATTAAATGCCCCAAAACACAACAAATTACCCATTTTTTAAATGAAATATAAAAGATGAGGTTACAACGAGTAAAACGATACCCAACATGCCCAGTTTACAGATTGCGTGCGACCGTGAAACGGCGAAAAACTGCAGTACCCCAAAAAGTCAATAAAAGACACTTTAAAAGCCCCCACAGGTCATCAATTTAGAAGATCGCTTCTGTTGTAAAGCCGACAGTCGGCTCTACAAGTTTAAACAGACTCCCGGCGGCAAAAGTCGCCGGGAGTCTGTTTAAACAGCCCCGATGCAGGCGACGTACACTGTACGTCGTCAGTCACGAAGGGGTTAACTGAACCCCTCATTCACCAGGCTGAACCTTTTGTCTGCTCACATCACATACAGACTTCTACTTGTTTAACTCAGACACACTGGTCAGCTCAGATGGGAAATACTTGTCCCTTCAACTCTCAAATGCTAGTCTGGCTCAGCAGCTCATCTGTGTAGACCAGGCAGATGTGGACAGGTACTCCCCACGTATCAGGCTAAAAGCTACTATTGAAGCACATAGGAGACCAAGGCTGACTTAAGAATGCTCTCTTTTGTGGGCAAAACCCACCTGACTCCAGTCATCTATCTATCTATCTGTTACGTACCGTGGTGTGAGCCCGAAGTGACTAGGAGGACCTCCCTTGCGGTTCTGTCTGTGGACCCCTGGGGTTTGAAACAGGAGGTGCACAGGCAAGAGCAGCACGGGTGCCGGATGTGGAATGGTGCTTTTCCAAAGGATCTCCAGGGATGGTCAGAAACAAGCCGGGTCAGGAGCCAGAGGGTATCAGATAAGCCAGAATCAGGACGCAGAGAATGGTCAGAAACAAGCCGGGTCAGGAGCCAGGAGGTATCAGATAAGTCAAATCAGGAAAACAGAGAGGAGTCAGGAACAAGCCGGGTCAATCTAGGAACAGGAAACAGGAGCTGAAAACACACTATATCAATCACAGGCTGAAGATCACTCAGCAATGGTTGAGCCTGCTGAGCCTGCTTATATAGCCCGAGTGACATCACTGGGCGTGCGTCATGACGCACAGGGGCGTGCCCTGACGGGCCGCCGCGTCATACGTGGGCGTGCCTCGCCGGGCC